TAATGAATAGATGAACCAATACTTTTCATCTGTACAGTTCTTGATCTACTTTTGAGAAAATACATCCAGTATAGAAAACAGTCATGTTTAAGAAATAATTAACTCTATGTGCTCTATTTTTATATCAGAGGTAGCAGGGGCTGGTAGGTAGAGGACCAGCCACAAGGTCAAGAAAACTTGGTTCCAAGTCTAGCCTCTCACTTAAACTCATTTATGATCATGGATAAGTCATTTAACCTTTTAAAATGATGTACCTCTCTAGGACTGTAAGTTACAGATGAGTTGTGCATCTTGTATTGGTGGAGAGAGTTTCCACATGGGGATAAAAGTTTTATATGATTTTGTAAAATATCTCTATCAAACATATTCTATTTTAAGAATAGGATGGAAGGACAGAAGGGATGGGTGAATTTCCCATTAAAAAAGCAATAAAAATTTCAAGGATAAAGCCATGAAAATACCATATCAAGCATTCCGTGTTCTGTTCTATGGAGCCTTTCCCTAACAGTAACTCCAAAAGTAGTTTTTATTTGACCTTCACACAGGGCCAAAGGACATGACATGCCAAAGACCAAGACATCAGCTTTTTTAATTTATTTTTTTAATTCTTGGAGCTGAACTTTGAAATCTGAATATTATAATTGGAAGAACATTAAAGCAAAAAATAATCCAAGCATCATAAGGCCAATATATGTTACTTAATTTATAAGCTTGCAAAACATATATTCAAATTGTCCTTTGGGTCTGTCCAAGTCTGTCCTAGCTGATGAATTGTGAGTTCCTAGAAATCAAGGAACAGATCATTTTAACCCCTTTACCAAGCACAGGGCCTTATCGAGAATGATACGAAATGACTTGACTTATTCTCAAATAGCTAATTAGGCTAGTATATATTTAGTCGTGAGCATTTTATTCAGTTAGAGATGAGGAAAGCAAGTACATTATCTCATCTGATCCAGGATGATCTGGATTCAAATCCTGAAAAAACACTAACTAGCTGTGTGACCCTGAACATGTCATTTAACTTCTGCTTGCCTCCACTTCCTCATCTGTAAAATGAGGATAACAATAGCATCTATGTCAAAGGGTTGTTTTGCAGATGAAATAAGATAACATATGTAAAGCGCTTTGCCAGCCCTAAAGCCCCATGTAAATGCTGGCTATTGTTTTCATCACTATTATAAGGGTATCCACATATACTCTAAAACCCCAAATCTTATTTTTTGCAGAACAGAAAATGGAGTAAGATGCCTCTAGAACTACTACCAGCAACTGCTACATGCTCAAGTCTGCTTATAGCCTAGAAGGTTTAGGCAAATGGATTTATTACTGCCTCCTTTAAATTTCCCTGAGATTTTTCTAAATAGCAAAGAACTTTGACTTGGCTCTGTCTGCAGTTTTCAAAGGGCTCTCTCTTCTCACTCCACTAGAGAAGAAAAGTCAGTCTTGATGCACGAAAGGAGATCAGGCATCAGGAGACTGGCGTCCATGTCCTGGTAATCTGTGTGACCCTGGACAAGTGATTTCACTCCTCTAGGCCTCAGTTTCCTCCTCTGTAACAAAATCACAAGTGCCTACTATGTACCAGGCACTATGCTGAGTGCTGGGTATACAAAGTCAGAAACAAAACATTTCCTGCTCTCAAGGAGCATCCTTGCTAGCCTAAGGAAGAACATGTAGACAGATAAGTCAAGACAAAGGAGTTTGGGGGATGAAGGTGGGAAATGCAGTGACCTAGACTGTAATGACAGAGCTGGCCCTGATGATTCATCAGGTCCCTTCCAGCTCTTAAACGAAGGCCCCATGAATAATTTGTTTAGTAGTTAAGAAAGCTGCCTTAAATTTGTACAGAAAACCAGTGACAAAGCATGCAGTCAGAACCTTTGCCTCCTGCTTGCTAGTGCTTCCCTTAGTATGTGGGTTACTCTCTTCAGTGTTCTCAGAATTACAGAAATAGCCCACTTTAACAGAAGAGTTCTTAGAAATCTCTACATCCTGGCTTGGAATTCCAGGGGGTGGTACAGCCAGAGCAGCCAGCATGATCAGGGTGTCTTCTCCTGATTCTTCTCTCCCAGCCTACATGTCCAGGTGTTCAGCAGATAGAAGAACAGAGCCAGATTGTTGACTCCTGGCCAATGGGAGGAAACACCTGCACAGTCTCAGGCATCACTGAATAGAACAGGCAGCCTGAATTTTTTTTTTGTAATTCATTCTGACTCTCCTCTGATTAATCACAAAAACCTTACCTAAGTGAAGTGTGGGAAGACCAATAGCCAGGAAATCAAAGAACCTCACTGGAAAGAGCCCTCAGACAACCTTTTTATCAGCTAATTACTCATTTCCCCCTTACACACCTATGAGACATTTATGCCTTCTACCTGGTCCTGCCCCAACCATCTTTCTATGAACTACCCCCAGCTCCCTGCACAGTTAGCTCAGGGGAGCTAGGTGACTAAGAAATAGCACATGGGACTTGGATCAGAAGAACTGAGTTCACATCCTGCCTCAGATACTTACCGGCTATGTGACTTTGGACAAGTCAATTAACCTGTTTGTCTCAGTTTCCTCATCTATAAAAATGGGGATATAATAGCACTTACCTCACGGCGTTGTTGCGAGGATAAAATGAGATGATATGTGTAAAGGATTATTTTGCAAATCTTAAAGTACTATAAAAATGCTAGTAGTTATTATTATTATTATCATTGTCATTATAATTATTATCCCTGTGACACACCTTAGCTTGCTTCTTCCAGGCTTCTGTTAATAACTTTAAGGAAATATTTGGCAGAACAACAAAATCTGGCCAAATCAAGAAATTCACCCACTAGCTGACCTGAAAATTGAGAAGTATTTTTAAGGGAAGGAAATCCTTGTTGCATTTAAAAGATGGTGTTTAGGGGCAGCTAGGTGACTCAGTGGATAGAGCTCCAGCCTTGGAGTCAGGAGGACCTGAGTTCAAATACACCCCAGACACTTGACACTTAACGAGCTTTGTGACGCTGGGCAAGTCACTTAACCCTGATCGCCTTACCCCCCCCAAAAAAAAGATGGCATTTAAAGAATTGTCAATAAATTGGCTTTTTAGGCCTGGTCTGAAAAGGTGGCAATACCTTGATGGATCTAGGGATTTGAGACCCAGGAACTTGATTCCGTCAATCTGTCCTAAATATGATGTGTGGGCCTTTTTGACTGATTGATTAAAAGATATTTGTTGGAATTACTCAGACAGATGAGACTCTGGCATATTAACTATCTAAGGAAACCCTGATCCTTGGTTTCTGCTTCTCTTACTCACTTATCCTATTTCATTTTGTAGGGTCCTTTCATTTTTCTAAATTATGACCTTCAATCATTCACAAACATTAACATTTTAAATTACCACGGAATCAATCAGTCAGCAAGCAAGCACTTATTAAGAGCCAACCACGAGCACTGTGCTAACCTCTGGGGATGCCAAGAAACAGACCTGCTTAATGGGGAAAACAAACAACATGCAAACAATTATGTACAAAGAAAATACAGACAGGAAGATAAAAAGATACACAACAGGGGGGAGGCACACACAGAATCGGAAAAAGCAAAGAAGAACAAAAATAAGGTGGTATATGAAACTGTGTACTATTACTGTTTGTTTTGGGGGGCAGGAGGAAATATATACTAAATAAGGTAACTATCCTATTTCATTCCGCATTAAGTTACTCATTTAGAGGAGATAGAGGGAAAGAACACTGGACCTGGAGGCAGAAGAGACCAGGATTCAAATCCTGGCTCTGATACATCATCATTTTATGACCAATGACAAATCGCTTCTCTCTGAGCCTGTTTCCTCTTCTATACAATGGTGTCAATAATATTTGTAAATACATACCAAGGTTATTTATGAAGCTCTTTGAAATCCTTTAAACACTACTGTGCATAGCTGGCGGTTATTGTACAAATGTCTTACCTCATCTACTAGTTAGCAAGCTGCTGAAGGGAAGCTTTATTTATCTTTTTATCTTCTTCAGCACCTGGCAGGTGGTTTGCACATAAGAAATGTTTAATTATGTTTACTGAATAAATGAATTCACCCAGATATGATCAGGCACTGAAGAACTAATTCATACTAACCCTATTCATATGCTGATTAGTGAATCTGAATGCCAATTTATTCATTTCCAATGGGAGACCTAGCTGACTGGATAACCAGTATTCTATCAGTTATTTGCATTGGCCACACCCTCCTGTTGGATAGGTCCACCAGTTACAATTCCAAATTATAGCTTGCTTGATAAGCAAAGAATTAGACCAAAGTTTCTAAAGATATTCTTAGACACTTTTATTATACTCACCTCTACTTTAGGGGTATTGTTGTCTTTATAACAAATGCTGATCAATAGAATAAATTACCCTGAAAAATTCTTCCCATCTAACTATCTTTTTATCAATTTCCATAGGATAGAAAGCATCCTGGATTGAGAGTTCAAAGGGACATTAGAGGACATGTAGTTCGATTTCCTCATTTTACAAACGAGGAAATTGAAGCCCTGAGTGACAGTGATGTATCTAAGTTCACACAGATAGCAACTAGAAAAATTAGGATTTTTATCCAGGTCCCCTGACAGCTCTTTCTGCTTTGCCAGGAATGGGAAGGTTGTCTCATTCAAGCTATTCATTTTACAAGTGATGAAACTGAGGCCCAAAGAAATAAAGAGACAAGGACACAGACCCCAATAACATAGTCAGGATTTGAACCCAGCTCTCTGACTCCAGATGCAGACCTTTTTAATCATGCCACCCTTTCTCTAAAACCTTGTCATTGCCTCTGCTTCCTCATGACCGACATAATATCACCATCCCTGTAACTTTCCATAGTAGGACATGTAAGGACACACAATAGGCAATACATGTATTAAACCATTTTAGGCTGATTTCATACGTATTTCCATTTTGAGGGTTAAATTATTTTACCTAACCCTCAGTGATCTAATAGTTGTTCTTTCACCTATTTATTTCAGGTACAGAGCAGTGGCCTCCTGGAGTAGAGTTCAGGGAATTGGGATTCCCTTGATCACTGCAATTGAAATTGTGTCCATCTGGATTCTGTCCTTTGTCTTGGCCATTCCTGAAGCCATTGGTTTCGTCATGGTGCCTTTTGAGTATAGGGGCAAAGAACACAAAACCTGCATGCTCAACCCCACAAACGAGTTCATGGAGGTACTTAGTAACTTTGCATAGTCTAATTGGGAAATGTTCTTTTCTAATTAAGCATTTATTGTATAGATACTTGAGTTGTAGTGAGGCTAAAAAGTGTCTAGAGGGGGACAACCAAAATGGTGTTAAGACCTTGAAGTTAAAAACATAAGGATGGGGAGTGGGGTCGGAGGAAGGACCTTGGACCAGAGAAGAGCAGAGAAATCTTATCTATCTTCTGAAGGTTGTCACATGGAAGACAGATTAGGCTTGTTCTGCTTGGCCCCAGAAGGCAAAGCTATGAGCTATGAGTTCAAGGGTAAATTAAAAAATGATGTAAGATGAAACTTCCAAACAATTAGGGCTACACAAAGTTGAATGGGCTATGTTGGGAGGTGAGTCAGTTTCTCTTCCTTGGAAGTCTTCAAGAAAAGGCTGGATGGCCATCTGTTGAGTGTGTTGAATAAAGGATTCTTGGTAGGTAGGGGTCAGACTAAATGGCCAGTGAGGTCCCCTAGAACACTAAAATTCTATTATTCTGGAATCCTTGTGTGATTCCAGGATCTGTGGGGAATTCAGCTAGTGCAAATCAGAAATTGTCAACTTGTGAGAAAATGAGTGAAATGGCTCTTTTGGCATTTTTGTAAATAATCAGGTTTATTTTATGTCAGTGGATAGAGAGCAGAGAAGTCTTGGGTTCAAATCTCTCCTCTGACACATACTGTCTGTGTGACCCTAGACAAGTTATTTAACCTCTTACTCAGGGCAACTCTCTGGGACAGTAAGCTGTGGGGAAGCTCCATACCTGCATCGCTAAAGGGAAGTTTTCTCACCTGGGAGTTCTCTCTATCAATGAAATCACAAGTCTAATACTTACCATCTTTGTAAACAAAACTAAATTTATTAATTTTTTTTCACTCAGTTATAGTAATACCAAGTAATTTTGCATTGTACGATTGACGACCTCCAGATAAATCTACTAGATGAAAAGATTTACTGCTCACTATTATGTGAGAGGGAGCCTAACCTAGTGGCTAGACAGCAGAAAAACTTGGGTTCAAATCTAACTTCTGAAATATACCACTTGTGTGACTCTGGCCAAGTCATTTAACCCTCAATGTCTCAGGCAGCTCTACAACACTGTAAATTGCAAAACAGCTGTTGGTATGTACTGGTAAGAAAGAGTTTCCTCATCAGGGGTCCTCTCTACCAATAAAATCACAAGTCTAGAACCCATTCCCACCGCCAGCTAGGTGATTCAGTGGGATAGAGCACTGAGCCTAGAGTAGGGAAGACCTGAGTTCAAGTCTCACCTGAGACACTTCCTTGGTGTGTGACCATGGGTAAGTCATTTAATCTCTTTTGCCTCAGTTTTCTCTATTGTAAAATGAGAATAATAATAGCATTTACCTCCTAGGGTTGTTGAGGATAAAACTAAATAATATTTATAAAGTGCTTAGCACAGTGTCTGGAATATAGTAGGCACTTAATAAATGTTTGTTTCCTTCCTTCCCCCTCAAAAAGAATTATAGCTATATCTATAAAAATGTTTTATGTTGTTATAATATAACACATAGTATGGAATTTGCATGGTGCAGTGGAAAGAATACTAGGTTTGGAGTTGGAGAATCTGGGTTCAAATCTCAACTCTACTATTTATTTGCCATAATATGGCCTTGGAAAAGCTCTTTAACTTTCCTGGGCGTCAAGGTCTGTAAAATGAGGGGGAGGGGAGGGAAGGAGGAGTTTCTAGATGATCTCTCAGATACCTTTCAGTTCTAAATCTATGAGTCAATAATCTGTCGGTCCCACAAATAAGGTTACAAATTTCACATGTCCTGGGAAAATCCACATTCTTCCATCACATTCTTTCTTACTAAGTCAGCAAAGTCTACAAGGTTTGTACGTAAAAGAATCTATCCTCCTGTTATGGTCACATGTAGATCATAACAACATAACTAAATGAAAACATTTTAGATTTTTTTTAAATTCCAAATTTTTAAACATACCTGACCACAAAAACTTGACCTCATTCAACCAAGGAGTTCAAGTGCACTGGAAAATTCATTTAAAATACACATTCTCTATGAAAACAAGTTCCATATGGAACTAAGAAGGGAAACCAAAGGGATAACTATTTTTTAAAAATAATTATTATTTACTGCTTCAGTGTAAGCTTCCTGCTACAAAGATTCCAAAATTGTCATTCACAGACAGGTCAAGGTATGTTTTCATACCTTGGAAAGTTCTCAAACTTGGTGATTTTACAGGTGACTGATTATCCAGTTTGTAACCATTTTTTTTTGAGTTCACAGGAGTTGCCAAACTAGCTTTCCTAAAAACTAAAATCTTATATTTCTCAACTAATTTTCATGTCAAATCCTCTTCCAACTTCAAAGGACCTATGATTTCATTAGTATGGGGGCTCTTTTCACCATTACAGATTACATCCCCTCCACACAGTGGTTTAACAACTAGCTCTCTGGGGGGGAAATATATCATAACATGCTTTTAGGTTTAATCTGCATTACTAACATTTTCTCCATCACTTTTTAAAGTCAAGACAATCAATAAAAGCAAGCCCTGATTTGTGGCACATGCTGATTTCCAAGGTGTACATGTTCACAGTGAAAATTTAACACTTTCTTATTAAGAGCTGGCTCAAGAATACTTCTACCTACATGCCTCAGGTAGATAGCCTTCAAGAGGTCCTATGATCAAAAAAATTCATCACCTAATAGCCAACCTTCTGGTGATAAATAAATGAGGTGAACATGGCCCACAAAAGGTAAAAAGTTGGCAGTTACTGTCTGGTCAATGCGAGCAAATAACCTAAAAATTTTAGTTAAAAAATTCTATACTTTCAACTCAATTATCTATATAAATTATCTTTATAGTTAAATAATTATCTCTATAATCAATCAATCAGTAATGTAAAGTTGACCTTAAAAGAGTGGCCATGGTAATGCAGACTTTCTCTTAATTTCCTGCAGAAATGAATGGAAATAGAGCACTCAGGTTGTAAGTGAATAAAAATTAGTACAGTGTAATTGGTTAATACAGTAGTGCTGAAAGTAAAGGAGTCCAAGTTGCCCAGGAAATAAGGTGAAAACAGAAGCAAAAAGCCAAGAATCATCTGCTCAGAAGTTGGTAAGCCTAAGAAGTTTGGATATAACTTAGACATTGGAGAAGCCTCTATTGGATTGATGTCCCAGTTGAAATTGGCATTGAAACTGAAATTGAAATTACCTCCTCAATGTTACTACAGTATTGCTTTAAGAATGGTGTTCCTAAAAGGAACCTGTGAGCCCATAGAGAAGGGAAAATGAGGTCATTTAAGGTCAGAAATACCAATGGTATGACTACAGTAGGTCAGCTGGGAAAATATGAAACAGAGAAAAGAGGAAAAATGTGACAGTACGTATGTTCATTTTGGAGAACGAGTAGAAAGAAACATTCACCTTGCTGAGCTTGGATCCCACATGTTCATATTCCAAGAGCTCAAGGATTAACTGATTAATTTAACAACTGATCCTGGGGATTATAGCCTTAAGAACTAACAAGGGAAAGTTGAGTATGACTTTGTGTCTAATGAATTATCTGTTTATAGATTATTAGGAAGGGAAATTTATATTCTTGATTTATTACTCTTGGGCCATTTTCTATTTGGGTAATTATAAAGCCCATCCAATTTTTTGACCAAGTTACTTAACCGAAGACCACCTCTTTGTGTCCACATAAATAATTAGACCAGAACATAATAAATCCCTTCTATGTAGTATTCATAAAAATGATCTTCATACAATATTAAAGTTCATAGAAAATTTAAGAATATTTAATCTGACCCTTTTTTAAAATGAGTAATTAAGGCCCAAAGTGAATTGACCAGAATCACAAAGCTAGAGAGAGGACTTTTTTGAACCTAGGACTCTAGTTCCACCCAGGTCCCCCGATTCCAAATCCAGAAAGAAAAGATTCACAAATGACATCGTAAAATTGACCTCATACAAATACTTATTAAATGATGTTCAATAAGTATCATTGCTGAGTTTGAGGAATTAAAAATCTGCAAATACTTCTCAGGATTAATCTCTTCTAAAAAATAAGGGGTCTTTTACTACACTCAATGTTTTTTTCTCTTGCACTTGGAAGAAAACTCAAAGGCAAACTCAACTATAACAACTGTACTCTAGAGGCTTCTATACAGCAATTCTAGAGCTGCTCAGAGGGACTATTCTCCAAGAAACTTGTGCTTAGAGGGAAAAAAAATTGTCTCCTATCTATCCTTCATGGAAACAAAGAAGAGGAAATCCTGCAGCCAGTGGAGGAAAACAGATTCAAATTATGAGCAGTATTTTCAGCCTGAATTTGTGCTTGAGAGATACTCTGCCTTTGTTTTGCATAATGCCAATGTGTCAGTTTAAGTTCCAAAATAGCATGTCAGAGCTCTCTCAGTAAGCTGAATTCATCCCCAAGAAATGCTTTCTTTTGAAGAAAAATAAAAGAATTAGTACTAATAGTCTCTCTTCACTTTTTCATCCTACCAAAAAATTTTTAAACTGGAATTGGTCCTTAAGGTTGTCATGGTGATAATAGAGCAACATATATTAATTATCTAATATGTGCAGAATCATAGAAAGTTGGGAAGGAGCAAGAGGCCATCCGGTGCACCCTTCACCTGAATAAGGATCCTCTCTATAATATATCCCACAATTGGCCATTCAACCTTTGCTTGGGGGCCTCAAGGGAATCTTCTCCTTCCTGAAGCAGTCCGTCTCATTTCTTAATAGTTCTAATTGTTGATGGTTTTTTCCTTATATCAAGCTTCAATTTGCTTCTGCAGCTTCCACCAGTTGTTTCTAGTTCTGTCCCTGAGACCAAACAAAGCAAGTTGAATCTCTCTTCTATACGGCAGCCCTTCAGTATTGGAAGACAACTAAGTTTTCGTTGTTGTTATTGTTTCCTTTTGTTTCTGCTTTTAGGTGAGACAATCAGGGTTAAGTGACTTGCCCAGAGTCACACAT